GTGAAACATTCCCAGAGCCAACAGAGAACGAACAAGTCTAAATACTTTAACAAAACTGAAACAAAACAATCCTCTAATGTTAAAGGCTGTAAACAGTGATGTGGAGTGGTTTTGCACAATAAGGAATCTAAAATATTGTACTGTTGATCAAACTTTTTGATCCATTTTCTGTCTATCAATTAATTGATTGTTTCAGGACAATACAGAAATGTTGATCATATTCTGTACATGTCCCTTGTAATAGAGAAACAAACCTCTGCTAAAGAGTGCATTATGTTTTTTTGTTGGTGTTTGAACTGAGTCATACCTTTAAATAGTGTTCTCTTTCCAGTAAGTTGCTTGCTTTGCGAAATAATTTCATAAATCACAAAAAAATCCTTTCAAAAAGTACAGAATATAGTCTTTAGAAATGCCCTGACGACTGAGAGCAACACTAACGCAGCATGTATTGAGTTAAACTTTGCTTCATTTTCTTACTTACTGGCAGCTACATAAAAAGCTGGAAGGAAATGTTTCCTGCTCACATATAACTCAGGTCCCAGCTTGCTGACAGACACTCTCTTCTCTCGACACCAACTAAGAGACAATGATGCAATTAAGGACTTTATTTTTTACATCCATACTACTGCCATGGATATTGTCTACTGCAGCAAAAGACAAATACATGGAAGTCAGAAGACCTAAGGTAATTTTATCTTTAAAGGTGTATACACTGTTAATAAGTTGGTAGAACTAATGCATAGTCCTCTTGAGTTGTAAGGGAAAGTATTGCTGCTATAAGGGGTTCTCCTTTTTACAGGAAGACACTGCAAACCTTCCAGACTATGACACTGTTCAAGACTCTGTCACTGACCCAGCAGCAGCTCCAAAAGCTGTCGGTAAGGTTTCTTTAAATTGAATAAATCGTTTTGAACAACTGTTTCAATGTTTATTATGCAATAGTTGTTGAAGCATTTGTATTTTTAGGAAAATGTAGCTAAAGCAGTGTTATGTAATAATTGGGTCGATCAAGTGTCCCCATCCAAACTGTGTGTGTTGAGCTTGAAGCTGCCATCACATTGCTGAAACCTATTACTTGTGATCTTTTCAGACATGCCAACATGTCTGCTTTGCGTTTGCCTGATTGGATCAGTTTACTGTGAGGAGGTGTTCCCTGAAATGTCAGCAGTCCCAGCACTGCCAAAAGAAACAGCACATCTCTACGCACGTTTCAACAAAATCACAAAAATAAGAAACCAAGACTTTGCAGACATAGGTAAATACAAGTCATTATAGTTTAGTTAACTCTTCAGTGAATGTGATCTTTCAAGCCATCTCTCTTTGTTTTATACTCCAGCCACCATAAAAACAATTGACCTAACTGGGAATCTCATCACTGAGATAGACGATGGAGCTTTTTCAAAACTTCTACTTCTTGAGGAGCTCATTCTTGGAGAAAACAAACTGACTAAACTGCCTATGCTGCCTGCCAAGCTGATTCTTTTCAATGCCAATTTCAACCAGCTTAAAACCAAGGGCGTGAAGGCAACTGCTTTTAAAGTAAGATCCCAAGTTAAAATGTTACAAACATTATGTACATTGTAAGTTTGATACAGCAGGCAGCCCGACATAGTGGTCTTTTGTTGTTGCAGAAACTCACAAGACTGGCATATCTTTATCTTGGAAACAATGAACTGACAGCTGTGCCCCAACTTCCAGAGTCTCTTCAGGTTGTGCACCTGCATGTAAGTTCATCTGCAATACAATGAAATCACAGCAAATTACTGTAGAAAGAAATTAACTTATTTGTGTTTGTATTGCCAACAGTAGTAGCTACTTGCTGGGCCAATATTGTGGTGTCCTGTGTCTGTCCTGCAGAACAACAAGATCTCAACAGTAACAGATGAGACGTTCTGCAGAGGGAACTTCAGTTATTACGTCCGAACCAACATGGACGAGGTGAGGCTGGACGGGAACCCTGTGGTGCTGTCTAAGCACCCCGATAGCTTCACCTGCCTGCAGGCCCTCCCTATCGGATGGTACCACTGAAATGACCAAAACATGCTTTTGACGGTGGTAAGCCCTTCTGAGGAAGATTTGCGTCAAATTAAACATGCAGATATAAAGATACTAAAAATATTGTTTACAAAATGTGTTTCAATTTGATATACTCACAATGCTTACAGTGCAAGTCCATATAAACGCAATGTTACAGAACGTCAGGATTTAAACAAGGGTATAAAAGAGCTTGTGTTTTGGGATGTTATCAACCATTATCTAACACGTGTGCAAAATAATCCAAGATGTCTTTAAATACAGAAGATAATTTCTTTATTTGTTAAGTACAATTTGGCTTGGCTGTTTTCTTTGAGCAGGTGCTATGCAATGTTTTAAGAATTTAACTTCAGTATCCTATAGGCCATTCTGGAGATTATTTAATTCTTTCATTTGAGCTACCATTATTATTATTACTGCAAAGGTTTTCTTAATCTGAAGACAATAAACGTGCATGTTTCTCCATAAGCCTTTCACTCATAACGTTCACATGGTTGTTGTTACATGCTATGAAGTCCATTCCAGCCTGTTGGAAACAGTAGGGAGCGAGAGTCCAAGAATATGTCCTTAGGTGACACAGCAAGTCCACATAGTCTGGCCATTGTTCACTTGGGTGTAGGCTCATTAAGAACTATTAAACCATCAGCTATCTTCTTCTCGTAGTCCCGTTCCGATTGTTTTCTTCGGTAGACATCATCTGGAAAGAAAACAGAATAAAGAAAGTACAATGAGACATTCCACATGCTTTTTCTTGATTGTCGAGTTAAATGTTCTTCTATGAAAAAAGCATACATATGATTTATTCTGCAAAATAAAAAAAGTTTGCAACTCCAGAAAAGGCTATGGGTTCAAGGAATGAAAATAACAGATGAAAGTCTGTTCTCTGTAGAGAAAAACAATTTTCTGTATCCCTAAATGGCTTTGGAAAACTACAGGGTAAAATATGCAGGGTAGCTTTTCTCCCCACCTCTTTTTTCTTTTTTAAACACCAAAGAATTGTGAATCCTTTTAGTTGTGCTGGATTGGCACATTTGAGCACATCTGGAATAAATGAATGCGAGTTCAATGAGAGTACACATAAGGTTTAATTTCCTTTTTAAATATTTTTGAGGGATCCAGTAGCACTTAACTCTCTACATGGGTTTCTACAGAAATATCAATATGTGATATGAAGCGCTGGACACATAATTATTTAATATAAAGTTATATTATAATACATATTTATAACAATAAATCATATAGAAAGGGACCACATTTAATTTAAACAAATACTATGTATTGCTTTAAGTGCATTCAGTTCGTTGGGTACATACACTTCTGTAACATTTTGAATTGAGGGGTACTTTTATAACAATATCATCTGGGATTTGTGTTGTCATATATTTAATTATCAACACCGAGAGAATGTAAAGCTATATTGTGGATTTAATTGTTTCTGTAAGCAGCTGTAGGCTACATGCACTGCCATAGTCGGACCCACTGACTGCTGTGAGTATTTATAAATACTTTTTCCACCTTTCTCTCCATTTTTCAATATTTCCTAATGAGAGTGGGGAGGAGAGGAAAGTTTGAGGACATGTTTGAAATGTCAACAAGGCTGCTTTGTGCCACATATTCAGACAAGCACAGTCCTAGGCAACTGTAAACAGACTGCAAGTTAATGCAACGTGCAACATGGCAATCTGTACGTCACATTATATGTAGGCTAATGCTCTTATTTGTCTTTATTTACATTTAAAAGCCTTTAAAACTCATCATATAACTCACATACCAAGGCAATGAGCAAACAGATGTCACTGTCATGCTAATGTCAGCTAGCTCAAACACGAAGTTTAAATGTTAGAAACGAACTAGATTCACACTCACAGAAAGTCTCTTTTCCTATCCTCACGTTGATCATGATCCACTCCATGGCGCCTCCGATGCAGAAGAAGATGGGGAGAAACCTGTACGTCCCTAGACTTTGTTTCCCTGGGACAAGGCTCAGTAAATATTGTATGTTGTTACTCTTCATTCTGGCTAACAGATATGTTACCCAAAACAGGTAATGTCAAGATAAAACTGTTTATAATGCAGGGGGGACTGGAGGGACTATGGTGTTTCAAAGTAATAGAGCAAGCGTGAACCTCAACATGTCCTTTACGCTTGTTACAAAATCAACGGACGTGAGACATGGGGTGCGCTCGTTTTGTTACCTGCAGTAAAGAAAAAGAACAGAACTTTCTAGAATGTATATAGCACTCTACAGTAGCTCGATGTTGGAGCTTAAAACGAACGCACCCAGGAAACGTCGTCACATCCGGTTGTGTTTAGGTGTCAAGCGCTACGCTGTAACTTCAAAATGAATGCAAAGAACTATAAAATACAGTTTTATCCGACGATTAAACAGCTGAGAAGGGCAGGTTTTCTCCTCATATAAAAGATGGGTTAAAGGTCGCAAAAATATAATAGTTTTTACAAATGTCTATCCTGTGCAGACATTTGATAAATAATTGCATTTCAGAGTGAGAAAAGCTTTTTAAATACAATTATAAACACAAAAATATTATCGTTTTTTTTTTTAGACATTTGGCTCAATTTTTTTATTTTTGAAAGTCATTAGTTAGTCGTGAAATTGCCATAAAGAAATAATAGCAATTACATGATGTAGTAGAGGAGACTAGTGTATCAGTATTATGTCAAAACTTTTGGTCAATAAAGGGCAGACCTTAGATGAGTGGTTATGAAATGTTAATTCAATATTGAAGGTACCTTCATACTTTTTTTGTCACCTGGTTGCTGCCAAAAGTAGCTACCAAACTAACAATAACCTGGGATTATCTGTCAATTGAGTCCTGAGACCATGGACATCTTCATAATGTTTTCCTTTTTTGTGTCTTAAACATGTTATACATTGTAGTATCATGAACACAGACAAATTATTAAAGCATAATGCAAATATGTGTAATTGGATAAAGCAATGCAAATAACTGACAAATACATATGTTTTATTTTGGCAGGAATAATCAAACACATCACTGTTGATATGGGCTCTAAACTGTAACAGTATGGCATAATACTTCAAAGCCCACAACTACATATACAAACACAAGACCCTCAGACACATGCAACAATGACGAGAGGTCTTCAATTATAGTACCATACAAGGAGATAAGACAGGTAAGAAACTTATTTAAGATCTACTGTAAGTTGGGCTAAAGATAATCATAATTTATTATGAAAAAAAGGTTCACTCCTGACAACTCAGGATCCAAAACAGTCATTTGTTTAGTGTCTGCAGTCCAAAACATGACCAAGACAGCTTATGTACGAGGAACAATCATTTTACAATATCCCCCTTTCCCTTAAAATTGGGATCATAAGTCACATTATTCTTGAATTCGGAATAACATTTTGCCGATATTAAACCACATTTGATCAAAACTATTCCTTGAAAAAGCAAGATTTCCACATTTGAGCATATCTGGGGTATTCTTGTGTCCCTTTATAAATACAATGAAATAAAAATCATTGCTCTTGTACATGGGGTCTTTCTGCTTCAAACAAAAATCTTTATAGTAATAGTCGTCAATTAGGAAATGTTTTAAGTAGTGGTAGTACAACTAAGAAAGTCTTCTTGCAATTGGAGGTGAATAAATAGAGAATTCCTATTTTCCACAGTTGGTATGCCATCTGCCTGGACTTCGAGCCTTGTCCCACTGTACCACCTTGGTCAAAATAAAAATAAATGATTACTAGTGACACAGACATTTGAAACAGATTTCAAAATGTGTTGTTGTTTAAACAGGACATGGGTAATATAAAGACAAATCAAACAGCAGTGTCACGCACAACAACTGTGCTTTAACTCAGTCTTCAACTTTGCGAGCTGGTCTACAGAAAGTCCAGTGATGCTCCACCGTGTTCTCGTTTGCACGCTCACTCATATGATGCACACGGGTGTTGCGGATGGTGAATCCTTGTTTCATGATGTAGTCCATGAGGTGAACCCTTAGTGAAATCTCTTGGTGATAGTCACATGGTCCGAAGGTGAACGACACCTGGCAGTCTCTGGTGTCCATCATGTGTTTGCTCCACTTTGTAAAGTTGTTGGAAATACCTTCCAGCAGGCCGTGAACTTTTGTGGTTATGGTTAGCTGTGTGATGATAACAGCGACTGGATTTGAATATTTTGAAAGTTTCCGAGTGCTTGAGAGCTCCACGACCTGTTCATAGATGTCGGGAGGGTACAGAGGCTTGGGGTCATGAAGGCAATGGATCAACGGTTCGATCTGGTAGAAGTCCGCCTCTTTCCTTAGTAGGTCTGTCTCTGTGAAGTCGGCAGGAAGGGTAAGCTCAGACGTCCGCAGAAAGTTCAGGATGTACCGAAAAAGTGTCCCATCACGATCAATGAAATAATTCCCTTTGGAATCGCGAGTAGTGGGGAAATCTCCCCGGAACATTGCACCCAGCATGGAGTCTGGATAGCGCTGCAGGGTAGATAAACTGGTGGTGTACATGTGACCTCCCACGTTCAAGGTAACAGGAGAACTCATCTAAAACAAAAGAGGAACAAGATAAGGATAAGAATTAAAAAAAGAAAATTATTTTTAAATTTGCATTACTATATACAGTAGTACAGTAGTTCAATTACATGAACTGTGTGAATTTCAGCTGCCAAACTAGCTAAAATAAATGGAGTTCAATACAACGCCCCAGCAATAAATCATGTAGTTTGTCGTACTGTGTGTAAAAATGTTTTGCATTATAGTGAGAAGTGTTTCTAACATATCTCTGGGATTAAATATTGGAAAAACACAATGCAACACAATTCAACAGCACCACAGATTCTTAAATGATCAAAAAGGTTAAATCAACACCTCACTACATCTGTTTAGATACAATCCCAACATTTCAACCTTACTGCAGGAAGTTATGTGGTTGCATTGTTAGATGCTAGATGTAAAACTACTCTGTCAACAGAGTGATTTTAACTTTTCTTTCTGTTAAAAAATAAACCTCTTATTCTAGTCTGATTTCTATCCATCTCTTACCCTATGGCCCCAGTCTCCATTATCCATTTGTAGAACAATACCCACTTGGTCAGAACCAAAATAGAGAAGGGACAGATACGCTTTGGTTTAATTCAATTTCACCTGTGGAAAAACAGTCAAATTTACAAGAGCTGTCACAAAGATATGCAGAATATGATTGACACAATCATGACGACTCAGTAAAATCATCTTTTTGCAGTACAGTGCAATGTTTGCATAAACGACTTGTGCTCACGTTGTGGATTAAATGAACAAACACTATTCAGGCATTTGGGATTTATGTTATTTCCAGTCAATTTATGCAAGATACATGAATTGTAACTCTAAACTGAATACACGTTTCTTTAAAAAATATTCAGTGTTCTGTTAAACCAACAGTCATTATTTGTAAAACCGCAGGTCCATTTAGAAACTGTTTAAGAGCTTTTGATCATACAATATCATTTCTGCAAAAATTATTTTTCCATATTGCCTGTATGTTGATATATACCAGCTGGAAAACTCCATCTGCTGATGAAGGCAGTGTGAAATTATCAAAAGCTCCAGAAGCACCTGACATTGTTTTGTTAAAAACCTAGTGTAAAAGTAGCCTTCCAGTATTGCTGCATTTTTCTAATTTTTTCTATGAAAATAAAAGGAAGTTGGCATATGAGCTGAACAAAATGCAATTTAAAAGATGCAGGATATTATTGTGTAAATCCAGCTGGGATGAACTGAGATTAGAAGCGTTTAATGCAATAAGAGCACCACAGTGGAACGGTTTTGTTTTATAGCTTGCTAGCTAGCAAAGATAGCTAACTGTTAGCAATCTACGAGCCGTTGACGTTAACCGCCGTGTTTCTACTACGGCTGACGTCGGGATTAATTTATTAATAAATTAGACTACCGGGAAGTAACATAGACGTTTAAACAAAGCCTTACCGGAGGGCTTTCTCGGTTATTTGTCTTGTTATTTTGTCCAGATTACAGCAGCTTGCGGTTCGTGTTTAACTGCACAGTCAAGTGATGTTTGCCTCTGGTCGTACCAGGCAGCTGTGCTCGACTCCAGGCTGCAGCAAAACTGCGCACACAAGGAGGGTGATTGAAGGGGGAGGAGATTTTAACGACAGCCAGGAGGCACCTCTGCTGCATGAATACATTCACAGTCACACACATCCTACAAACAGTCACACACTGATAAATGCATGGCACCTTTATTATCATGATGCGGTTGACATTACAAATTCAACGCAATGCACTTTCAAGAAATGCTTTAACACTAACAACCTTGCTTTTACTTTTTCACGTATATCTGTTTACATGTTTACATGCATGACACGTACAGGGAGCACGTGTAGCATTGCAGGGGAAGGACATTATTGCAACTTGCAAGGCTTGAGTTTAGTAGGATTTCTTTGTGCCACCCCTGGTGTCTTGTTGCAGGATGATGAACTCTAGGATGAGTTTGGCTGTCCGACAAGGCCTCTCCATCACCACAGAGTGTCCACAGTTCTCCAGCAGGTCCACTCTGCATCCAGGTAACACTTCTGCAATGACTGCAGCTCCAGAGACATCCACCACCTGGAAAAGTGCAGGATAGATAAATATGTTTATGCAGATATGCAACTGAAGTATCTTTATTCAGGCCCAAGTAGCTTGAGAAACCTGAGCTGCCTCCTTCAGGTTATACATTTGTATACAGCAACATGACATTTGAGTTTATTAGCTTTCATGTCTACAGTTAAACTGAATAGAAGTAGATTTCACATTATTTTAATGTGACGGTATGCATAGATTATTATGCATCATAAAACATATATAAACTATCCATATGTTTTCTTAAACGCACATGCACCCATGCATTTAAACTCGTATACAACCATCTTTTACATACGACCACGCAACTCATTTAAGGATTGTTTTAAAAGCAATATCTGAATGTAATCACACTATTATTGGAACATCATACTTTACCTGATCTTTTTTTCCCCATATTACTTGTAAAGGTGCAGTTATCTGATGTAAGTGCTCCTGTAAGGCATATCTTGATGGTTCACCAACAATCTCCATAAAAACTAAATCAAAGAAAAGTAGGTTTATTTATATGGACTATGCTTACATGGGAAATCCTAAGAATTTGGGAACGAACCTTCTTCGTAAAAAGTGTTGTGAGGCTGCCGAACATCTACCAAACCTTGAAGAATCTAATAATGACAGCACATGCATACAAATAAATAACACAACCGTTAAATAATGAATTGAGGTGATTATTATTATTATGTATATTTTCTGTAATCATTGATTGAGAGTGTATGCAAAGTGAAATCCACAATGATTTTGAATTTCATTTTTAAAATGTGACCTGCTGTGGGATTTTAAAGCGGACATGAGAGCAAAGTCTGAACATATCCTCCATCTCCTCGGGGGTAGTCGGGATCAGCGGGATGCTCAGTGTGTAATTGCTGTGCTCCAGGTCCTGCAGATGATTGTCAAATTTGGTCTCGCAGGGGTGTCTTATACCTGCAAAACAAAATAGGTGACAAGAAGGTGATAAGGTTAACTGGTATTTAGTTTGGAACAATACACAGAAAGAAAAATGGAAGCAATTAAGGGTGTGTGTCATAATATCATGTCTTGTCTTTTAACTATTAATGATCAGTATTATGTTACAACTTTTAGAAATACTGGTAATCCAGTGAAAACTTCTCTAAGTCATAGGCAGAGAGATGCTATGGATATGGTGGACATCCGTTCTTGCCGAGGTTCACAGTTGGATCCTTTTGAGTAATTTCCCACATCTTTCAATCTCCACACCTCCTGGTTGTAACCGTAACGCAGGTTTCCTGCGATGTCACAATGTCATCAGCAGGGTTATTTTGTCAAACTTTGAAAAGCTCCCTCCAGAGCCTTATAAGATGTGAGAGAGTCTATTAAGAGTAAACAATATGTACATGGTATTCTTTCCACACACACGCTTACACACATACAGAGTGACTGACCGTCTGGACAAATGAGAGTCATGCTGCAGATCTCTTTTTGGTAGCAGGCTGCGTAAACCCCGGCTACATTTCCCCCCATAGAGGTTCCAACCACATGGAAAGGTTTCCTGTTTAAGCGAATGGTTTCCACAAACTAAGAAGAAATAAAGACAAAAACAGATGGAAGGACTCTGGGTACCTGAGAAATGCAACCTTAATATTAATTCATCTTTCTTCGGTTTACCTGATGGATCCTTTTGACCTGGCCCTGAATGGAGTAATCCTCCGTGTTAGTCCGGGTTGTTCCCTCATGACCAGGCATGTCCACACACACTATGTGCAGATGTTTTGGTAAATACTAGAGCAGGACATTAGAGAAAGTATAGTTTAAGACCATTAATGTATGCATTGAACCAAGAAACGCCAAGAAATGATTGGAATGACAATAATTGTGTATCAGTGATAAGTGCACTAACCTTGACAACACTGAGCCATGTGTCTTTGTGAGCAGAGAAGCCATGCAGCATTAGAATAGATGGTCTCATCCCAGGCTTTCCTCTGCAGGCATAACAGAACCGATAACCACCGCAGTCTGCATAGCGCACCTGCAGGCCCAGAGTCCTCCTCCAGTACCTGAAGAGGAGCAGGTACATACACGCTTATACACACAGACATTATCAAGTGATCATGAGCTTTGATGCAATCTTTTAAGAATTCAAGCTGCCAATTTCTTTAATGCTAATGCTTGAAAACATTTAGGGTTTCATGTTGAGGCACATTTTGGATTTTGGAATTTAAAAGAAATAGACTAGACATTTTTGTCCATAAAAGTCACAGTAACCTCCGTGAAGGACAAACTAACACTATTTTACATTAAACTATCACCCTAAGATGTGTAAAAAATGTGGCAAAAAACCCACTGACAAACATGTTTTTAAATCAAAACCAGGCTATATTTTATGCAATACACATTAACACAGCTAAAATGATTGAAACATTTTAAATTAAAATGCCAAACTGAGGCACAATGTTTGATTAAATGTAGGCCTATTGTGTGTAGTGTCTTTTTGTTTCATTGGTAGTTGTTTACAATTATTATTTGGCGCTCATATGAGAGAATTCCCCTGGGGTATTAAACATATACATGGAAAGGCAAACAACAGAGTTATTGACTTTACCAGTAATACACCTTAATGAGTGCAGAGGGCCAGAGGAGGAAAGAAGCAACAAAAGCCAGGATGGGAATTGCCAGTGTTCCCCCTGCAATGATAAACAAGTTCACCACCTCCAGATCAGCTGCCATGGCTCACCTAAAAACACAGCACACAAAGGCATTGAACACATGCAGTGTCTCTTAAGCATCACATGTTGGGGGAGGGGGAGAGCCAGTTTATGTACAATGTTTTGTTGGTAAATAACTCAAAATAACATATGGAATATCTTTCTATGTGATGACAAACAGTTTCATAATTGTAAAAACTTACTTTTAAGATGAGTTTTTTCCCTCCCTGTGTCACAGGCAGAAACATGTGATCGCTGGGTTTCTGTTGATTACTTCTACGGGTTGCAGTTCATTTAAAGGTGTTGTTGATGCTTTGAGAGCATGAATAGTCAACTTATCTTACTGATACTGTGAATAAAACTAAACATATTATTGTGGAGTGTAGTTGGTCCCGGCAGTTTGCTCTGGATAAACTCATTGATTATTACTCATCATTGGATGAAACCGGGCCACATTACTCGGTCAATCTTTTAAAGTGAACGTACAACAGGCCGATCGTTGCTTCAGTCCAGGCAGTACACTATAAAAATGTACACACTGTGAAATAGATAAACTATTTACAGCCTTTAACACAATAAACCTACAGTAAAGGATTTTACTGGTGAGTATAATGATTATCGACTATTTTGTAAGGGTTCACAAAGGGAAAAACATCAGATAACAGTGGCAACATTCCAGGGCTTTTCTTTGCACAGACCACTGGGTGTCATTACATCCACAGCATGTGAGATGTCAGCTCTGCTTCAGTTGACAGTGAAGCTTTGAGGGAATAGTGAACAGACTTTTTCACAGCCACTCTGAGGTTCCCTTTACTAAAGGGAAGAGAAACAAAACGGACGAACATTGCACCTCCATATTTGCACAATAATGAGTCATTATATGTCTGGAAGAGTTTCAAACCAAAGCAAACTGAACAGGGTGTAGACCAAAGCCATATTTTAATGTACCTTTTGTACATTTATGTCATACAATTCTCATTAAATGAATACACTGGAAACAAAAACTAAATATGTGAATTCTATATCCCTGAAAGCCACAAACAAAAATTAAAATACACAGTCAAATGTATACCTCAGCTTTATACCTGCCAATCATCTTCTTCTTTTTATTTATTGTTGCATCTGTATTAAATCTGTATTGTGAGTATAATACAAAACTATTCCTTAAATGACTATTTTTTATTTGTATTCTAATATTTGCTTACTTAAGGTCCATTCCACTGTTTCCAGAAGTTCCCTAATAGGGGTGGGGGTGATGTTTGGATGAAAGGATTTACATGTACAAAGTTAAATAAATAACTTACATAATAAATTGACTTCAACATGAATGAGTAGCAATGTAAATGTAAGCAAAATCAAGTCCAAGATCACACTACACTCCCATCTAATGCAATGTGCATCTGCCATTCTGCTGCATCTCTGGTCCACTGCCGATGACCTACATACAAACTAGAGCAGAATAAATGGACACTGCAACTCTGCAGAGAGGCCCGGCTTGCGTGGGAATGATTCTCACATTTGGGTTTATATAGGGAGAAGAGGCTGCTTACATGTCATCCCCAGGTTGTCTGAATCTAACGTCATATTATTATCCTGCTCGTCAATTTGTATCCTGAGAGAGATCCTTGACACTGCAAAGACTGCGGATTCTGCTGAACAGAAATTACAATGTGGCACAGAAATATGTGTCATGTCCCTTCATGCGATGTGAAATCAGTGATTTGCTCTGGAGCTATGACCTTATAAGACATTGCAAAATTGGAAATTTAGCAACAAGCTTCTCATCCTGTTGAGTAACATGCCTCCCCCTCCACAGACCTATTATAAGTGTGGTCTGCATGCTTAAAAAGCGTAACTGCACGGAGGGCTTCACGCCCTGCCGTGGTGCCCTTGAGCAAGGCAGTGGACATCCCCCTTCCCCCCTCACTCCCATTGCTCCCCGGGCGCTGTACAATAGCTGCCCACTGCTCCTAGTGCTAGACTCCTGGTACTAGGATGGGTTAAAAGCAGAGAACACAGTTCACTGTGTGTGGTGTGTGCTCTGCATGTGTGACCATTAAAGAGGGTTTCATCCCTCCCGATATATATATATATATATATGTAATCTTCCCGGAGAAGTGAAGGCCCCCACAGTCNGTGTGTGTGTGTGTGTGTGTGTGTGTGTGTGTGTGTGTGTGTGTGTGTGTGTGTGTGTGTGTGTGTGTGTGTGTGTGTGTGTGTGTGTGTGTGTGTGTGTGTGTGTGTGTGTACATGTATTTGTGTTTTTTTTCAACCTGACCACATCAGATCTCTCCCAGCATCCATTACCACTCATATATATTTTTTACGGTAACAGCACTTGATGGACTAATGTTCTATTAAGGATTAATGCAGCATTAGTTTGAACACACATATATCCTGAGGTTTCTTTTAAGGGAAATATTTCCACACTGAGACGACCACAGAGTTTGAGGCCCCTCTCATGCATTTAACAAGAAGCTTCAAGCACAAAATGACTAATGACATCAGCTTTACAATGCACATGTGTTGGGATCTGGGAAATCTCTTTCTCTTAAGCTGTTTAAAGCTCCAATATGCTCACTAGTTAGTCTCTAGTTTTGTCTGTCAGTTGTTGCAGGTGATTCTTTCTGGAAACAACACTATGAGAACGGTGAGAGTCACTGTGATGTAGACACAATCCAATCTAGGGGTTTCATGCAGAATGAGAGGGACTTGGGGAATTTAGCCATTGTAGACCATTTCCATGCACAAAAACCAGAATAACACTCTACAGGAAAGGGGAAACCACAAAGAGCATAAAAGGGCCCCTTTAAGACTTTTTGACCTCTTACAAGTCAATGTTGAAATAAGCCAAAATTCTAAAAAAGCGCAATTCAATTGTTTGGTGATGTTAGTAGTAAAACATGCTAGTGTAAATAATGTATTTAAATAATAACGCATACAGTATGAAGGGAAGGCCATAATATGAGAATATATAGACAAAATATACAAACTGACAGAGAAAAAAACCAAAATTGATGTCTGCGCGTGACTGAGAATACGTGTCACGTGCACACACACACCAACAAATGGAGCAGAGAGAGACATTTTAGTCCATTTGATCTGTTTTTAGTTGCACTTTCGTCCTGCTTTTGGACGATTTTATTGAACTATGAAATGCTACTTTTGGGTTTTTCCAAATTAAAATAGTTCACAACACATTTGTTTTTGTTCCCAACTTTGGAAAGTGTAGGAGGCCTTAGAGCAGACTCAGTGTCCCAGACCAGTCCACTCATTACCTTTGATGTTTTTACTGACCCTTCATTTTATTTTCATCGTTGCTAGAACGGTTTTTCTTAGTAGACATTTTCTTCTTCTTTAGGTTTTTGTTTTCACTAGTTTATACTTATTCTGTAACTACTTTACGGCAGTTTGTCCGGCAGTTGCTCAGTCAGTAGGGGCTTGGACTGGGAGCTGTAGGGTCGCCGGTTCAAGTCCCCGACCAGACCTAAAATATGGAGTGTGGACTGCTACTTGGAGAGGTTCCAGTTCACCTCCTGCCCTGCCGTGATGCCCTTGAGCAAGGCAGCGGACATCCCCCTTCCCCCCTCACTCCCATTGCTCCCCGGGCGCTGTACAATAGCTGCCCACTGCTCCTAGTGCTAGACTCCTGGTACTAGGATGGGTTAAAAGCAGAGAACACAGTTCACTGTGTGTGGTGTGTGCTCTGCATGTGTGACCATTAAAGAGGGTTTCATCCCTCCCGATATATATATATATATATATATGTAATCTTCCCGGAGAAGTGAAGGCCCCCACAGTCAGTAACTCAGATCATCAAACCTCTGATATCATGTTGAAAAACAATAAGTTCCTAGCATGGGAAACTCTCTTAAATACTTGCATCCAACATTTAAAAAAAAAAATACAACTCAGATGAATTATGACCGCAATACTCCTTTAATGTCCAGCCCTCCTTCAAACCCCAGATCTCCAATTTGTTATGCAGCCTTTTGTTGTAAATGTATATCCGCAGCAGGGGTTCAGAGTGTAAACAGGAATGATATAAAACAGCTCTGTTCCCATTCAAATGTATTTGCAAAGGGCTCAAGTCGGTGTGAAGAAAGCCTCAAACCAAGACAAGATAACCCCATTCAAAGCTGAGTAGTACTCCTTATGACCGGTATTAATGTAGTAGTTTATAGTGTAGTAAACTATAGCTTAGAGGTGTATAAGGAAATTGTATTTTAAGCATCAGCATGCAGTTTATTTTAAAGCATGTCTTTATTTGGGATTCTGGTGTCAAACTTGACATTTCTGCATACAAGTCCTATCACTAGCACAAGGTGTATATTTGTTGAATTTGGGGTCTTTTTCTTGAACAGATGGAGTGTGTTTATATGATATATTGGACACACATGTTGCACCCTTCAAGTCCAGCCTCATCTGCCAGAAAAGTGTAATATGTCCTCATCTTGTGTATCAGCACCTCCAGGAGTGGCTCAAGGGTTTTCCTGTCATACAGGCCAAGTCTGGCACCACATTGTGTGTTTTCTTTGTACCACTGGGAATGCTGTTGGTACGCTCAATTCTTTGGGCCGGCTGACGCACACCCTGTTCTCACTTGAGAAAACCTCACTCCCCGCGGAAAACACTCCCTTCAACCTCAACCTGTTTCTTTGAATGCCATCCAAAATACAAGGAGCTATCAGAAGGGTGCAAAACAGGAAATGTGAGATAGTTGTAACTGAACACATTATCTTGCTTAAGAGAAGAAGCACACATACTTCTACAAATATAGTTCCCTTCCCCTAATATTATCGGGCAATACACAGAAGAACCGAGCACTTCAGACGCAGGGTTCCTGGAAAGATATCAGAAGTAAATGGCAAACATCTCCATAGAACTTGGTGGCTTTAGAGACGGCCTGCTTACTATGCATTGACTATCATGGTGCAATTATAAAGTTAATATCTTTAAATGAGGTCACTCAGTTCTTACAATAAAACACAATAAACTGTATATGTCAATTTGTTGGGTTCTTATTTACAAGGAACTGAGCAAACCAAATATAAAGCAGCAAATTAATATATACAGTATATATTCCTTGATATATTTGAGATTTTCTACAAAATCATAATGCATGCAAATATGTAGTCATGACTAAACTCTGAATGAATACCAAATAAATGATTGATAGTTATGTATTACACCAGTTGCTTATGTCAGTAACTGGTAAGATACAATGCTCTATATGGCATGCATTTAAATTATATTGTCATGTCATTGAAAATGTCTTGAAAAAGAAATATCCATTATTACAAATATTGGTGATAAGAGGTACTTTCTTAGGGGTACCCACCATCACCACAGAATGATGAATTGTTATGTATCAAGGGCAGTTATCATGCATTCAACAAGGGGCTACATTATTGTGACAATATTTATTATTCGGACAGTTACAGAGATGTGTTACAGTTAGGGAGGTTCAACTCTAGGATATCCATTTAAAATATCATCATCATCATCATCTTAAAGTAAATAACTTTGTAGCGTACCTTTACATTCATTATTGGATAATCCTATCCTATCCTTAGTTATGATAGTAGCCAAAAAAACAACTCAACCTTGTTTCCTTCAAAAACATCTTACAAATTAAACAGTGTTAAGTATGAGCCCTCCTAATTAATAGTGCAGATATGATAGGGGCACGTTTTTTCAGTTTCAGTGCGGAGAAATCTGATGACAATTATGGGTTCACTTCTCTGTTTATGTTTGTGTGTGTTTGAGCACGTGTCCCTCAGGTCCTGAGGAGCAGAGCAGCAGCCACAGCTGTTAGAGCCACAGCAGCCACAGGTCCCCAGACAAACCACGGCTTCTGAAACAAGTGGTGACAGAAAAGAGAACATGAGCATCGCTTCATGAAACGGCTCAATATCATCATCATAGAACCACCACAGCTTTGACAGAATGAGCTTGCCATTGGAAACAATGCAGTGCACAAAGAAGGCAGGTTAGAAACAGCTCTTTCAGGTAAAGATAAGCCCATCCAAGCAAACTGAGAGAAACAGTTGTTAAGCATTAGCCATCCAGACAAGACAAACAGAGGTTTGGACTGTGGGATTAGAGAGGTTAGAGTCTCTGAGATGACCATTTATTTGAGTTTCCCCAATGGGAGGCATTCTGGGGAATAGGGACAACTTGATTAAGTCATGCAATTATCTTAGAAACACTGATGAGGATGAAAGATGTAGGCCGATTTGACAGGAGTGATGTGTACCTTACTACCACAATGCGCCGAAGCACCAATACAGCAAAGCCAGGGTAAGGCCGATGACTATGGCTTGAACAGGCAGCAAAAGGGATGTCTACAGAAAGGAAGGGATATTACAGTAATCATCTGCAACGGGACATACTTTAGTTGGGCGTAGCTTTACTAATAAACCCCTGAGTGAGTATTCTGTGTTTGTAATTGATGTTTACACAAATCTCATAAGTCACACACAGCTGTCATGGTCTAATACAGTAAGATACGTTTGAGGGAGCAGGAGCACTGCTGTGAATACAAAAACAAAAACATGAATTGAACAAAATATTCAATTTTGATCTTTCACAAAATAAAATAGATGTTTAATGCACTTTTGTTGCAAAGCTCATGCTTCTAAGATCAAAATGTGTTTGCTTCTTATGCAAATGAAAGCTATGGTGCTGTTTATTTCAAACAAAGGCATTTTAATATATATGTTATGTCAAATGATTGTATAAGATTTTCTTAGTGTATGATAGGCCAGTACTCACCTTTGTCCCTTTGTCCTGTAACTCCTTCATGTTGGCTTTGCACTCCTCAAACTCATCTGTAATTGACTGCTTTTCCTGCTCAGTCTTCTCGTACTTTTCCTTCAGGTCTGACAGCTCCGTCTTAGCCTCCTCATACTGCAGAAAGCCAAATAGTTTTAAATTAAACACAAAACAAATTACTTTAATTTAAATGTATGATTATGCTGGTGCCATCTTATGTATCAATGATTGATTTCATGTGTTGACAGATCCCTGCATGCTTTGTCTGACAGGGCTTTAGAGGACGGGTACATCACACAGAGAGCGCTCTCAGGTTCAACTCTCATTCAGCGACTGAAAGTCACACCACATAGGGATGAATGACTTGTGGTTAAGGATGACTTCATCTCGGCTTTCTGCTATTGAACAGTGGCCCTCCTGTCTCAGAGTCACAGTGGTGGTTGATCCACCCCCCCCCCCATCCAGCCTGCTAAACCTGCCTGGGAGCATACAGCAGAGCGCCACTGCCAACAGCACACAGCCAAGGTCTGTTTCAAATGAAGAACGCTCTAAACTTCACAATCTGTTGTTTTAAGAGATGAGCTGGGAGGTTTGCTTTCACTTAAGGACAGTTTCAGTTAGTTAGACTTAGTTGTAGTAGTATCTACGAGCCATTAGATAGACATAAAGACTGTTTTGTGTCCAGGGGCCTCATTTATAAAAAGGGATATACGCTCAAAAAAATGGCGTACGGCAGTTTCTACGCAAAGTTTGCGATTTATAAAATACTAACTTCACGGGAAAACGTGCGGTCCTCCACGCAAACTCTAACCCATGCGTACGCACTAAGCACAGAAACGGGAGAGACGAGAAACTGCGAGGGGTTGAGATGCACAGGCTGCAGTGCGCTGCGCACAGCTGATCGACAGCTGGGACACAAACCACCAAATACAAAGACATAATTCAGATCCAGTCGTCATGACTCCACTCCGGAGGGATTCCCCGATCATTTCTTACAGTTTCTCATCAAGGGGGGGTCTCCTGTCCCCGGTACAAACACACTGCCTGAGGAAGGCTATGTGTATTTTATTTTGTCATGAACCTTTTTCGGACCACTTATTTATTTATTTTGGTGACGATCCGACCTCCATGCTGCTACTCTGGTTCAAACTGCATCCACCAAACAATATGATTTATCTCGACCTCCCAAAAATAACCAAAATCTGACACGGTGTGAGATGTTTTTTTTAGCTGTTCTGTCGTCATTTCCTGCGATCTTCTCCATGCAGTCAGTCAAAATGAATGAATGAAAGGGCGTTACTTTGACTATTTATAGGCAAATATGGGCGTCACGTGAAGCCCGCAAAAGCTGCACCGCATTTCGAGTCGGTTGGGATTTATAAAGGGAAACCGGCGTAGGAAGTGCCATACGCACTTTCCTCGCCAGTACGCAATGTTTGGTGAATCGAAAAGTGGCAGAACATTTATGGACCTATTTTTCGGATTTCTACTACATAAGCAACCTTCCCACGTCAATCCTACGCACTGCGTTATACTGTACATGAGGCCCCTGACCTGTACAATGACAACCAAGACGTCCTGGTCACATCTGAATCCTTCTTCCTCTGACCGTAGATAGCCCTGACTAAACAAGAGCCAAAAGACACAGCCTACTACGAGGCGCCGTACAGATGTAGACCCCCACTCACACACAGCTCGAACGGAGAAGGGCTACCAACCCAGACGGTGACACTAGATATAATAGACCGTAAAACGTAAGTAAGCGCAAGTGAACGCAGTACATCTGAACTTGTTCGAGAACGGAGGTAAAAAATAAAAGTTGCTTATTCTGTAACAACTTGAGTGATGAACCTGAACGTGATTAAGGAAAGGGATCAACCAATTTAAGAAAAAACGTAAACAAGCATCAGCATCGATAAGTTGATGTTGAATCCCATATTTTAGCCTTAAATACAACGAAACGAACTGGCCCAAGTTCAAAGACGGTAGATTTA